CCCATTCCATGTAAGGTAAATAAACTCCATCATCGACCTCTTTTTCAGATTTAACTTTTTACTGGGCCCATGGCATACACCGGGTTATGACGAGGTGATTATATCGTATTTATTTTTCACTTCCAAGGTACCGTCAAAATACAAAGGCGTTATTTGGCTCCCAATAGCTGCAGCAAACTTCTGTCCGGAAGGTGTGTTGTTGAAATCGACGATGTCAACTTGTTTTCCTTTCCATGGTTTTATCTATCAACCAGTCCTCTTTATCCACCGGTGTGTCGTTGGTGAAGACGGACCCTTTCAGATGCATGAAGACGAGAACAACGGTCATTTACACTCTATGCTTGACAAAAGAAACAAGTGTTTTCTAAAACTCGCACACGGGCCTTCCATCTTGAAGCCTGCAAGAAAATCTACAGACTTTTGTTCGATGTGAAGATCTATGTAGAATCTTATGATTGGATGCAGCGCAATGGTAAAACTGGCAATAAAGAAACCCGACTTAATTTTAGTAGCAATCATCGGAGCAGGATTCGTTACGCGATTTACAATTTAAAGATTTCAATGAATAGAAATGGTCTCTTTCAAATGGATTGCTTCTATTATAGTCGCCATATCGTGCATTTATGTTAAATAGAAAGAACGGCCTTTGATTAAATCCACTACGAGACCTAACAACTCTGCACTCTCTCTTGACGGGGCTCTTTCCCATATATATGGACGGATGTATCTGTGACAACCACAGACAAATAACACATTTTTCGTAAACGCTACTACATCGTACGACGTAAAACAAACAGTACTTTCAAACTGCAAGCTATTTTTTCTCTCCAACGTTGTTGCTATCTGTGCCGCTATACTACCAGACAAAGCATTTCGCTACCGGAAGTTACGCAACTGTCTGTGTTGTGGTGACATTTTAACAACGAAACACATTAATGGTAATGCAAATAGAAGCTTTAATTGAAATCATCTTTATAAACAAGAGGCCCAATGGGCCTGCATCGCTCACCTGGTATAAAACTCGCACTTGTAACCTTAAAAGTGATCTAAAATCAAGCTACAGGCAAAATATCAGTATTTATGATTAAAATTCATTCAAAAGACCCTGTTATTTTTTTTTAAACATTTCACCCCTGTGATTGAAAGTCGAACAAAGTCATTATGTTGAACACATTGTATAGCCTTTCATCTCAGGATGCAACTTGCAAAGTATAAACATCCTGGGACCCATGGTTATTCAGAAGAGGTTGTTTAAAGATTTTAAACAAATTTGACCCCTGTGACCTTGAATATAAGTCA